AAAAATACTGACAAAAATTCAGAAATTCCATTCACTCCAACTAAATACATCATATTCTAGACGAATTGAAAACAATATTATGAACCAATAAAAAACTAACCTCGTTCAAGGTGTCAGAGATGAAAAATTGACTTCCTTTAATTGATTCAAGATGTGAAAAATGTTGGAAAAGGTATCGAAGTTCTTCAAAACCACGTGAAAGATGTGCTTCTGAACAATACGGACTGAAACATACTTTTATTCTCTGCACTCGGTGAGAATGTGTGGGTATATAATAAATGATAGTACAGGGGAATTATTAAGTTGGTGGTACTTTAATAAATTCATGGCCATGAATCAAGTGGAACTCGCCCATGGTTTTAATTACACCAACCTAAGTGATTTTGTGCCAGATTTGTTGTAGTTCAATTCATTTGGGGTATATTCGTAATTGTAGACTCTCTGAAATGTCAGAAAAGTTAAAACTGGGTCAGTTGAGTCAATTTTTATAATTTAGGTCATTTGAGCAAAATGGAAACTTTTTCAGATCAATTGAGTCAATTTCTCATGCGTTCTTGTAATTGCCGTTGAGTAGGTAAACAAAGAGCCTTTTTTTTCCCTTTTGAAATATGTAAAGGAGAAATCGAGTAAACCGGGGCTTGCGTTTAGAAAAATCGGCAAATATGAACTAAATTACATTACTGTTGGTTAAATTTTAATTTTATTTAAAAAAAAGGTTATATAGTATTTAGTAAAATAATATTAAATTTTGTGACTCTAATAATTAAATTAAACAACTTTTTTTAATTAATTTTATATTGATACTTTATATTTAAATTTAAATATTATTTTGTTCCATATTTTACTTTAGTTTATTTTAGTTTTTATACTTTCATTTTTTTCTTATTATTCGTTCATAATTTTAGCATGACACCTTACTCAATAAATTTATAAAATGTAGCCATAAATTTATATAAAAAGATTTTCATTAGTGTCAAAATTGCAAATAGGATCAATGATTACTTTCTAAAAATACTAGAACAAAAATAGATATTTTGAAAGTGCAAAGTCTAAAATTAACAAAAATAGAAAATTTATGGACTAAAATAGATATTTTAAAAATACAAAGCCCAAAATAATCCATCAAAATTTTAATATAATTTAAAAAAAAAGAATAAGAAGAAGAAGAAGAAGAAGAAGAGGACATACAAGAAACATAAGGAGGGAACCAACGTAAAAAGGAAGTATAGCTATAATTTTGTAACCTTTGTTTAGAGAAGGCAGTAGATTTTGAGGAAAGCTAAGTTTAAAAGTTTTTGCAATTGAATAGTAAATCAAAAGGGAATTTTACATCAATTAAAAAAAAGTAATCAAATTTTACCAAACACATTTATACTTCTAGTCCTTGGAAAAGTAATCTCGAACGACTCTGAATAGTTCAATTCTAACCAACTTGAACGTAGTTCGACTGGTTATAGTATTTATTTCCTACCAAACGGTTGTGAGTCCGAATTTCGACTCATACAACTTGTACTAAAATAAAATGTCTAACTCTAATGATAGTTTGTAAGATTGTTTTTTTCTTTTTTTTTCTTCTCTTTTTTACTAAAAAACTAGGATAATGTTGTATAGGTGTTGTGCAAGCCTTTTCAAATGAATACCAAAACCAAAGAAGATATGATGATGTATTTTGAATCGTTATTGACGAAAAATTACTGAATGAGGCCGCCATAACGTGGCTGTCCTTATTAATGGTTATATGTAAATTTGAAAATCTGCACCTTATCTAATAATCACTTGATATAGATATAGATTCGAGGTATTTTTGTGGGTCATCTCTCATAACTCTAATACTGTAAAATTATCAGCTACATTGTAGCGGCCTCTTCCAATAATTTTTCATTATTTACGGTGTTATGCTAGTACTAACTTCCTTCAATAAAAGAATCATTGTTAATTACGTACGTCTTTTCCTTCTTTCTGAGCTTCCTCGCACGTAAAATTTTGAATATAATATTTTGACAACACTTAGATCCGTAGATGATAGCCTAAGTGGAAATTTGGCCTTCTTTTTTGCTTAAAAGTTGTCCACTCTCTTGCTCTATTTGTTGCATGAAAAAAGACTTATGTTTGGTCTAATCCATTGCCCTCTTGGATGGAGACATTTTGTTTTAGGGTTGGGAAAGCTTTTTTTGGCATAGTGCCTAACATATGGTTTCAATTTTGATACTTTTGAAAAAAGTGATTTCGGTAGAAAATGACTAATAATACATCACTTTTGAGTAACGTTAAGAGCTACACTCTTAAACGTATTTTTCAATGCTTCTCTAACAAGCATTTGGACGAAAAGTATTTGATAAGTTCTTTCTCGCAAAACATTGTGCTTTTTGGTTTTTTCAAAAGACACTTGTTAAATGACTTCGATGATTTTGAGTGGGAAATATTTTTGTCCTGACATGAACTAACTTATTTTGAGAATTTGGTTCTTACGTGAGTAATTTTTTGTGACCATATGTAGTATATATTTTGGGTACAATGTAGTGTGAGATTTTGAACTTCCGACTTTAAGAACAGATATCTTCCATATTTTAAGAACTTCCAACTCCAGAATGGTCAAGATGTGGAACATAATTGATTGGATGGTAGAGTCATGAAAATACCTGTTTCTTCCATATTTTTTACCTTAGCCAATATCTCCATCTTCTGGCAAAGCAGATCTTTCTCCCTCAACCTTCACTCACTGGATCGAAGCTATCAACTAACGAGTGAAGCTTATCTCAACCATCCCTCTGCCTCAAGGCAATGCACTCCGGGCTCAGAAGCACCAGAACCTGCTGTAGCTGCATATGACCCTCGGAAAGGAAGTACCAGCGAAGAGGCTCCTGGATCAAATGCCCATCTGAACCATCCCGTGGGAGCAACAAAGACGGGTGAGCCCTGTTATGGAAACCCCTTTCTTTCGTTCCTCTCCTCTCGATTCAAAGCAATGGACCTTGTTCACTAATAAATCGACTAATCAAACTCATGTTTCTATAATCAATTCGATCCCCCAATTGAATCGGGGGCAAACGCATTCGTTTGGATTTAAGAATGAGTCGCTTGGATTTATCCATGGTTTGTTTATTTCTTATCCCGAAAATCCTATTTCGATCGTACTTTATTTTGTTGAGCCAGACGATATTAAAATTTAAAATTTAAAGTTAAGTTATCTTACTTTGGTACTATAGGTTAAATAAATTTGAAAAGTTGAAATTATATCGGACATATTATCACGAGTGTACGGATATTTTAAAATATCGAATAGATTAAGAACTTATTACATACAAAATCGAACTTGCAACATGACCATACTTCACTGATAATTGACAAGTACTATTTCCTTTATTGTAATGAAAAAAACAAAATGGAAACTTTTGCAAAAATTTATAGATGGAAGGAGAAGGACCCACTGCCTAACATCTAATTACTACAACACCGTTCATTTTCTTACAAGCTTCCAACTTCCAAAACCGGTTTTTTCTTTTTTCTTTTTTCTTTTTTTTCTCTCTCTCTTTTCCATTCTTTTTCAGGATCGAATTTGGTGCGACATTCGTTAATATTTCAAAGTTTCTTCAAAATTTCAGTGAGTATTCGTTTCACCACCACAAAAGAAGCGCCAGCGAATTTGGATCCAATTCTTATCCTCACTCTTCTCCACTTATTCCACTAATCCGTCACCTCCTAATTTTACAGGTACTTTCGGTTTCTGTCGTTTTCGAATGATATTTTGAAATTTTAATCGACACCCACTACCTCCGCATCCATCCCGATCATCACATATCGCACCCATTTGCTGGTTTCTGTGAATTCGGGAATATTTTGATTTAATCATGCCTGTTTCGTGACGTTTCAGCGTGAATTTGTGGGGGGTAACGTTCTTTTTTCCGGTGGAGTGATTCAAGTGCTGGGGTAAGTGTATTTGATTTTTTCTGGTCGTGTTTGTTCTCGTTCTAGTTATCGCGACTGCCGTTGATCTGCATCGATTGTTTGGTTACTGAGAAAATGCCGGAATAGGAGAAAATTTATTTGGGATTTCATTGTTGCGAATATTCTTTTTAATTGCTTTAGTTGATGCAGTTGTTTATACCAAATCCTATGGATTTCTGCAACTAGTTTGTATTTTTCATTTGAGATCCTTTGCTTAACCAGGGGATTAAATGGACAATGATAATGGATGCCCAAGTTATTTCGTTAAGCCAATTGTTCCATAAAATTTTGCATGATTTTTTAAAAGAATATGGAATGCATACCATCGTTTGAGTAGTGGAGATTTTGTTACCTTACTGTACTCTATCATTTCAATGGTTAAACTTGCTTCTGTTGAGCCATATAGAATCGATCCTGTAGCTGTAGCTAGCTTTCCTCTGGTGTTGTGTAGATGATGGATCAAGAATTGGTTGATTGAGTAAATGTTGTGTGAAATTTATCTTATCTGGGGTTGAATCTTAAAGACTAAAGTTTAGAGGCTGCTTGGATTCTGCACAACCCTTGAAGGAATTTTCTGGTAATTGAAGACTCAATGCATAATGCAAGTGTTGTGTGTGTACTGTGTTACTTTAGTATTTGAGTCGATGAGGAAGAGAAGAAAAGAAATGGTGAAGTTTGTCTGTTAATTTTCTGGATGTTTTTTTATCAAAATTACTTTTTTAAGCATGTATCTAAACATTTGGGAGGTTAGCCACAAAGAATATGTATAAAGACCCATAACAAGATTCAAAGCGCCTCCCTTCCTGTGATTATTCCGGGGTGGTGTACCCTTCTCAAGAAAGATCAGAAATATAGGACTACCTTTTTTTCAACTGCTCCTTTGCTGGAAATTTATGGAGTTGCTTTCCACATTTCGTTGACACTGGACCCCCCTCCCAAGGACACAAAACCTGTTATTCCGTTAATGATGGTGAGGCTTCCCTTCAAAAAAGACAAGAAGATCCTTTGGCTT